GGCGCGCCAGACCCGAAACCCTTGAGCCAACCTTCCAACATCTAAACCCTGAATCCTAGAATTTGGGGTTCCTCCCCTCAGCCCAGGTGTATGTTGAAAACCGGAGAACACTCCCAACCCTGCACCCGAAATCCGAAAAAACACACAAAAACTTAAAAACCCCCCAAAAGTCCCCAAATCCCGAAACCCTAAACCCCAAACCCAAATCCCTTAAGCACCCATAGGAAGCGGAGCGTATCAAAACGATACGGACCCAGCGGTTCACGGACTTTTAGATGCGGCCGGGGCACCGGGCAGGGGGGCTCTTAGCTTCAACGAGTTCAGGGTTTAGGGTTTAGGGTTTGGGGTTTAGAGTTTAGGGCCTGGGGATTTAGGGCTTCGGCTTTTGGGGTGTGGAGCTTAAGGTTATAAGGGCTTGGGGAGTTGCATTTTGTGGGGCGTAGGGTTGCGGTATTGGAGCTGCAAGGCTTGAGCCCATACGTCGGCTCGAAGCCCCCAGCGTGCTGCGCTCAGGCAAAAACATGTTGCCGAGTGCTGGTGTTCAGGGTTTAGGGTTCAGGGTTGAGGGGTTGAGGGGTTTAGGGTTTAGGGCTACTTGGAGGTTCATGGGAAGTTACAAGTAGGGTGATACGTCGGGTATCTGCAATTGCGAAAGAGATCCTGCTTCAACATGCCCGTGGAGTTTGACCTGTATGACGTGCTGGCAGAAATGTATAGTCCTCCAGTGTATGATGATGCAATCCAGTACAATATACTGATCGTCTTCAATACTAGTCTACCTCTGAACCTAAAACCCCTAAACCCTAAACCCGAAACCCTGCTAAACCCTAAACCCCGAACCCTAGACCCTAAGCCACGGACCCTCGGCTGCTTGCAACACCCTGAAAGCCTCCCTCGAGCCCCTCGCGTTTCGGGTTCCGGGTGTAGTATACCACCTACTTCGTAGTGTCGTACACTCCGTGGTGGGCAGAGACCTTCCGCCTTTGCACCTAAACCTTAAACCCTAAACGCTAAACCCGAAACCCTAAACCCTAAACCCCAAACCCTAAGCCCTGAGCCCTAAGCCCTAAGCCCTACACCCTTACCCCAAACCCCAGCATCTCCCGCTTTTGGCAGCCTTGCTCCCAGAGTGATCCCAGGTTTGCAAAATCCTTTGCCTCGCGGCGCCATGGCTCGACCCTTGACAGCCTCGCTGCTCTTCACGCTCGTTGCCGCCGTGCGTCGCCAGAGCCAGGCCGCATGAGGAATCCCACTTTTTAGGGTTTAGGGTTTAGGGTTTGGGGTTTAGGGTTTAGGGTTTAGGGTTTAGGGTTCAGGGTTTAGGGTTTAGGGTTGTGGCTTATTAGTACGGTAGAGTGGACTCTAGTATGCTAGAGGATGCGGTATATTGTTCTGTACAAGGGGCTCTCACCTGCAGCCGGCGATGGCCAAAGCAGACAAGGACTTGTTATGGGCTCATTGTTTTCGTCGGGAAGGTGCCGGGTGTGTATAGGGTTCGGGGCCTGAAGGCCAACAACGGCGACCACGACGACAACGAGTGATATTCATAGCACACTAGTATTAACAGTCGCAAAATCAAGTTCAGTGAGAGTGACAATAGCAGCAGGACATGACTTTTGGGGCTTGTTTTGTTCAAACGCCCGACCCCTTCCCCAGACCCCCTTCCCGCTACAGTGTTGCGGCATCTAGTGCCTGACTAAACCGCCGAACCCTCAAAACCCATCAGCTCCAAACCCTAAACCCGATCCCCTAAACCCCCCTCCCCCAAAAGCCAAAACCCTAAACCTGAAACCCCTAACCCAAATCCGAAAGCCCTAGACGGGTAGTTTTCTGCAATAGGGCCCCTTTTTTGCGTCCGTTTTTTTCGCCAAAAGGGACCCAAAATGTAGAGAACTACCCATAACCCTAAACCCCAAACCCTAAACCCTAAACCCTAAACCGTAAACCCTAAACCCTAAACCCTAAACCGTAAACCGCAAACCCTAAACCTCAACAAACGAGTCCTGAGCCGCACTCCCGTGAGGCCAATGATTTGGCAGTGGAGGAGCATGAGGTGGACGCCTCTGAAACGTCATGCTCGGGGTTTGGGGTTTGGGGCTTGTGGTTTATGGTTTAGGGTTTAGGGCAGGGTTTAGGGTTTAGGCTTTGGGGACTAGGGTTCAGGGTTGAGGCTGTTGCGGCTTTAGAGTTTTTAGAGTCTAGGACATTCTGAAACTTAGGCCTCAGGCTCGAATGACCCATATGATCAGGTCTTGAGAAGTAAGTTGTCGTATCCTCGGGAATGCAAAAGCACAACAATGTTTTACTATACAGCATACTCTACCCTACTCTACCCATACGATACCATACCAGACTATGCTTTACTACACTATAGTATCCTGTAGTTGTCTACAACACTTTACTATAGCATCCTAGAGTATACCATATAGTAGTATACGGTATAGTATACTTCCGAATACCATATAGTACACTACAGTATACTACTGGGTGGGGCCTATTGCCTCACTCGGCTACTCCGTTGCTGGGAGAAGCGGAGCTTGCGGGTCAAGCCTTGGGGGCTTGACCCCAAACCCTAAACCCTAAACCCTAACCCTAAACCCTAAACCCTAAACCCTAAACCCCAAACCCTAAACCCTAAACCCTAAACCCTAAACCCTACATGCTAAGCCCTAAACCCTACATGCTAAGCCCTCAACGCCCACGACGCGTGCCCAGGTGGCCGTGGCCAACTACAGCGGCATCGAGGCGTCGGGTTCTATTAGGGCCTTGAAGGGCTTAACATCGGTTTAGGGTTTAGGGTGTAGGGTTTAGGGTTTAGGCTTTAACATCGGCTCAAAGGTGTTCGGGCTTAGTTTGGTTTTTTTAGGGGGGTTTTTCAAGTGCTTGCAGCAGCATTTTTGGCCCTAGACTCTGAGCCCTCTCAGGGCACTAGGGTCCACCTTGCCCAGATTGAGGGTTTATGGGTTTGAAGGGCTTAAGGGTTCAGTTTAGGGTTTAGGGCTTAGGGTTTACGGTTTAGGGTTTAGGGTTTAGGTAAGGGTTTAAGGGTTTAAGGGTTTGAAGGGTTGAAGGTTCAAGGGGGTCAACGGTTTAACAGAGGTAGGTTTGAACATATGGTTTTTGTTCTCATTGCCCTCAGTCCCTATCTCATGCTTATAAAGCTTTAAACATTTAATGTTTATCGGGCGCCCAAACCTACCCCAGTTAAGGGTTAAAAGGGTTCAGTTTGGGATGCTCCCCGTCATACTAACAGTTCTTAATAGGGATTATAGTAAGGGGTACTACTACCCCCTATTGTAATCCCTATCAAGGACTGTTAGTATACGGAGAAAAAACCCCAACCCTAAACCCTAAACCCCAAACCCCAAACCCCGAACCCTAAACCCTAAACCCTAAACCCTATACCCTTAACCCTAAACCGGTTCAGGGTTTACGCTTTCCGGTGCGTGCTTGGCCGCAGGACCTTGTTCCTTGCTGTGGCACCAGGGGCAGCTGCTACGAAGAGCACGCGGACACCGATGACGGCTGCCCTTTGCCCTAAACCCTTAAACCTTAAACCCTAAACCCTAAACCCTAAATCCTAAACCCTAAACCCTAAACCCTGAACCCTGAACCCTGAAGCCTGAAGCCTGAACCCCGAACCCGAAACCCTAAACCCACAACCCACAACCCACAACCCACAACCCACAACCCACAACCCACAACCCACAACCCTGAACCCTGAACCCTGAACCCTGAACCCTGAACCCTGAACCCTGAACCCTGAACCCTGAACCCTGAACCCTGAACCCTGAACCCTAACCTCCAACCCCTAAACCCTAGAATTAGCCAAAAAAACCTATCCCAGGGTTTAGTCCAAATTGTTCATCAGACACGGGTCGCGAAGAGATATCACCGGAGGAAGCGCCCGTAACCCATACAATCTTGTGAAGCGAAAGTGTCGACCGGCTGCGTGGGGAGAAGTTTCCTTGGTTTAGGGTTCAGGGTTTAGGGTTTAGGGTTTAGGGTTTAGGGTTCAGGCTTTAGGGTTTAGGGTTTAGGGTTTAGGATGGGGGCCTTAATAATTAGAATAGGGTTTTGGGGGTTATTACTTGTATGGTATAACAGTTGCAAGGACCAGGAGGAGGTACTATGAATAATTATTCTGACCCCTGCCTTCTCCTTTACCAAAAGGAGTTGGCGGCGTGGTTTGGCCCTTTTTGTCATCTTTGGAGGTTAGACTCCTCCTGACAAAGCGATCTTTTTGGGTCACAAACTCGTCTGAAGATAGGTGGGAGGAAAGCTGGCTTGAGGCATGCGATGTAAGGTGAGGTACTTTTCCCAATGTTGTGGGGCCCAATGGCCCAATGGGCGGGTGCTTATGTTTCTCTCATTGCTTGACCTGTGAATGTCTCGACATCAGATGTGGCAGCCTAAGCCCTAAACCCTCACCCCCAGATTCGCACCAGTTTTCTTGTTGCAAGGGTCCGCTTGGAGTTTTTGGGTTGAAGGTTCTTAGGGTTTGTTTGAAGTTTAGGGTTTAGGGTTGTGAAGCTTTGTTTGAGTGTGGGGTTTACGTAGAGTTTCGTGGCCAGGGTTAGGGTTTAGGGAAAACGCCTTGACCCGAAACCCTGACGCTAGTGCTCGAGGTGCAGCTGCAGTGTTGAGTAGCCTAGATGTAAATAGTAGCACAGTAGTATTGTAACCCGTTAACCCCAAGCCTTAAACCCTGGACTTCAAACCCCCTAAACCGGTATATCCATAGAGTCGTTTATCCCAGGCCCTCCGGGCAAGCACGCGGAGTCTTGTGACTGTTTCGCGCAGTTTAGTTGGTCTTCGTTGGCTTTGGCTTTAGGGCTGGCAAGCGTTTTCCGGCAGGAATCATTCTTCGTGGCTGCCATGCTTTTTGACCCACGATTTCCCAAATACGGGGGAGGGGGGGGGGCGCCGGCGATTAAAATGTACTACATATGTATGCTACATTGGCCACCATACAGTGCTTTAGTGCGTCTGTCTGTCCCATGGCACAGTCTCGCTTCTGACAAGTATGGTATACCAAAATGCCTTATGCAGGCGTATTGCCCCACTCTCGCCCCTCGACTCCTGCCCACCCGGCCCCCACATTCCCTCCAGCGATTTGTTCATACTTTCCTGTGCTTTTGCTGCCGTTAATTCGGCCAGACCTGGCTGTTCCACATGCGCCGTCTACGGACAGGCCTCCTAGCCAGAGAGCTTGTTCCCAAAAAAACCCCAAGCCCCCCAGGTACAGACCGGCGCCTCCATGTCCCCAAGCCCCTAAACTTCAAGTTTCCTGTAAAAAGTGGCACAGAACAATTGCTTTACAGAGTTTAGGATCCAGGTACAGAACATAACTTTCTGCATGTTGCAGTATCGAACAGTACGGCACAAAAGGCCGCTGAGTCCGAAAATTTGGCCAAGGCGACTGCTACAAGCGCCGGCACGGCAAGGCGACGTGGCGCTGTGGCAAGTATGCTCACAAGGACCGAAAGAAGGGTTCAGGGTTTAGGGTTCAGGGTTTTGGGGATTTGTTTTCCGGCCTTTGGGTGTCGGGTTAGTTCGGGCTAGCGGCTGCGGCTGCATGGGCTTCGGGAGGTTCGGGTTTAGGGTTTAGGGTTTAGGGTTTAGGGTTTAGGGTTAGGGTTTAGGGTTTAGGGTTTAGGGTTTAGGGTTTAGGGTTTAGGGTTTAGGGTTTAGGGTTTAGGGTTCAGGGTCGGCTTGAGTGTCAAGAGTTGCCTTTTGGGTTGTGTGTACTGGATTCTGGGACTGTAGACTGAAACCCTAAACCCGAAACCCTAAACTAGGGTTTAGGGTTTAGACCCTAAGTACTTGAAAAAGCCCTGAACCGGATTTGGGGTATCGAATCTCGAGGCCTGAGGGTTTTAACCTTCCGAGCAGCTGGACAGAGTCTTTGAGTTGGGATGTTCCGGTTTAGGGTTTAGGGTTTAGGGTTTAGGGTTTAGGGTTTAGGGTTTAGGGTTTAGGGTTTAGGGTTTAGGGTTTAGGGTTTAGGGTTTAGGGTTTAGGGTTAGGATTTAGGGTTTAGGGTTTAGGGTTTAGGGTTTAGGGTTTAGGGTTTAGGGTTTAGGGTTTAGGGTTTAGGGTTTAGGGTTTAGGGTTTAGGGTTTAGGGTTTAGGGTTTAGGGTTTAGGGTTTAGGGTTTAGGGTGTAGGGTGTAGGGCTTAGGGTTTAGGGTTTAGGGTTTAGGGTTTAGGGTGAGCCCTAAAAACCCTAAATCCTTGACCAGTGCGGTCCCAACTCATTGTACTACAGGGGTCGGAATTCCCTTATGGTTTCTATATAACTGTACTATAATAATCCCCCTAAACCCTTTCTCATTATAAAGGCCCCCGTTCGTAAGTAGGAGGCTCTAGGGGCTTCACCAGGCGAGGAGTAGCCTTCTCTGCCGCAAAAGTGCTTCTGAGGGGGGGGGGAGCGATTTGGAAGCATCACCCCCAATGCCTATACATTTGTCTTGAGAAAACCCATTGAAAACATATTTTATGCCCCTGTTACTATGCAAAGAGCGTGAACTAGCAGGCCTTTGGGCTTTGGGTCGGTGAATGGCTTGGGCGCTGGAACCCCATGATATTCAGTGCGATAGGGTTTGGGGGTCAGGGTTTAGCGTACTTCTCCCTAAGCCCTAGACCTCTATGGTATCCTGCGCCACGTGTGCTATAGTCTAGACTTCCAGCCCGATTTTCTGCCTACACCCTATACCCCAAACCCTAAACTCTACACCCCAAATCCCTCAACCCCAAACCCTAAACCCGAAGCCCTAAACCCGAAGCCCTAAACCCTAAACCCTAAACCCTAAACCCTAAACCCTAAACCCGAAGCCCTAAACCCTAAACCCTAAACCCTAAACCCTAAACCCTAAACCCTAAACCCTAAACCCTAAACCCTAAACCCTAAACCCTAAACCCTAAACCCTAAACCCTAAACCCTACACCTAAACCCTAAACCCTAAACCCTAAACCCTAAACCCTAAACCCTAAACCCTAAACCCTAAACCCTAAACCCTAAACCCTAAACCCTAAACCCTAAACCCTAAACCCTAAACCCTAAACCCTAAACCCTAAATGCACCCCAGGATCGACCCAAGTGCTGCTGCTCCGACTGGGCTCTGATGGCCTACCATAAGGATGCTGCTTGGCGCTCTGAGTTGAGCTTGTGGGGTTTAGGGTTTAGGGTTTGGGGTTTGGGGTGTGGGGTTCAGGGTTTAGGGCTTAGGGTTTAGGGTTTAGGGTTTAGGGCTTAGGGTTCAGAGTTAAGGGTTCAGGGTCTAGAGCTACTTGGAGGTCCATGGGTAAGTATAAGTGGGGTTATAAGTAGGGGAACACTGCATATCACTGGTTGTAACCTTACTTAGGGTAATTGCTTGTAACCTTACTTATGAAACTACTCGCGAACCTTGAAGTAGATGCTCAAGGGTTTCCTTGGCACTGCCACTGCCAACACTCCCGCGACTTCTACTGAACCCTGTACGGTGTGTTGAAAACCCTAAACCCTAAACCCTCAACCCTAAACCCTAAACCCTAAACCCTAAACCCTAAACCCTAAACCCTAAACCCTAAACCCTAAACCCTAAACCCTAAACCCTAAACCCTAAACCCTAAACCCTAAACCCTAATCCCTAAACCCTAAACCCTAAGCCCTAAACCCCTACACTCTACACCCCCATCACCAGCCTGAGCCCAAAGTATGCCCAAAGGGGCTCAAGGCAGCTAAATCCCAATGCACCTAAGGGGATTTGGAGCTGATGGAGTTCAAGGGGGGTAAGTCCTAAACCCCTAAACCCTAAACCCTGAACCTCTGAAGGAGCGATATGGGAACCCCAATGGCAGGGCGCTTCATCTGCTACTCTGGGGTGCCTTTTTAGGAATCCTCTATGGGGGTTTCCGAAAACATGGGGTACCTTGTTAGGTCCTTTTTGTAAGGGGGCTCTATTATTTGGGGACGATAGTAGGGCCCCTGATTATCGTAAACCCCACCATACCAACCAACCAACCTAAGATCTGTCCCTAAACCCCAAGCCCCCAAGCCCCTAAACCCCTAAACCCCTAAACCCCGAAACCCCTAAACCCCTAAACCCCTAAACCCCTAAACCCCTAAACCCCCTAAACCCCCCTAACCCCCCCACAAACCCCTAAACCCCACCACCGAAAGACCTGCTGCTGAGGATGCGTACCGGAAGGACTTTTGCCCCAAGACACCGAAGTGGTACGACTTCACCTCTAGCCTGAAGATCGACGTCAACAGCGGCTGGCAGGCGAAGTACGTGCAAGCGGAGAAGCTGCGATGCACCTTAGGGGGTTCAGGGGTTACTTAGGGTTTAGGGTTTAGGGTTTAGGGTTTAGGGTTTAGGGTTTAGGGTAGTTTAGGGTTTAGGGTTTAGGGACCCAAGCTAAGCAATCCCCGAAACCCCCCAAGCGGCCTACACGGCGCCCTACACGGAGCCCACAAGCTTCATCCAGGAAGTGCGAGCTCCACCGGGATACTTCCGTGGCGCGCTATAACAAGAAGAAGTCTGCGGGAGACAAGGCAGGTTCGGTCTTTAAAGAACTTTGGGTTTTCATCATCATTATTATTATTATTATTATTATTATTATTATTATTATTATTATTATTATTATTATTATTATTATTATTATTATTATTATTATTATTATTATTATTATTTCATTATTCTTAATCATATACATATATATATATATACTATTTTTTTTGATGTTTTTTTTTTTGGTGGGGGGGGTTGGGGTTTTGGGGGTCTGTGGGGTCTTGTCTTTGGGGTTTGCGGTTTACGGGTTCAATGGGGTTTATGGTGTTTTGGGGTCTTTGGGGATGTGGGGTGTTGGTGTATTAAAAAGCATTCGGGTTTGCAGAAGCAGAATTCAGAATTGTGTTCAAATATGGAACCCGGCTGGTGCCTAGCCCTAAGCCCTGGGGTATATATAGAACCCGGCCGGTGCCTCGCCCTAAGCCCTGAACCTCAAAACCCTAACCCTAAGGCCGCCCGTACTTAAACCCGACACCTTCAACCGTCATCCGCCAGAAAACCCCAGCAACTGGAAAGCCGAAGGCCTAAAGGGCCTTGAAACCCTTTCGGAAAGCCCGAAACCCTGAGCCCTGAACCCTGCTTGGAGGTTCATGGGTAGTTATAAGTGGGGTTATAAGTAGGGTAACTATAGTTATAGCTGGTTGTAACCCTATTTGGGGTACTTGTACTCCTTCTTATAACTACCCATGAACCTTCAAGTAGCCCCAGACCCTAATTCAAACCTAACCCTAAACCGTAAACCCACAAACCCCTAAACCCCTAAACCCCCTAGACCCCCTAAACCCCTAAACCCTCAACCCCTAAACCCCTAAACCCCTAAAACCCCTAAACCCTAAACCCCCTAACCCCAAACCCTAAACCCCTAACCCCCTAAACCCCTAAACCCCTAAACCCTAAACCCCTAAACCCCTAACCCCCTAAACCCCTAAACCCCTAAACCCCTAAACCCCTAAACCCCCCCTAAACCCCTAAACCCCTAAACCCCTAAACCCTAAGACCCTTAACCCCTAAACCCCTAATCCCTAAACCCGAAGCCAGGTGTCTGCCACCTTTGGAACGGTGGGTCAGTGGATCTCGGACCACCGGCCGAGGATTGGCGAGTATCAGGCAGGGGGGGTTTAGGGTTTCGGGTTTTAGGGCTTAGGGTTTTCTCTCATTTTATTAACATGTGCTGTTCCTCAAAGCCTAAACCCTGGACCCCCCAAGATCCTAAACCCCCCCAGCTTCACGGCCAAAGCCGCAAAATCTTGAATTTCTGAACCGCTTGAATGAAGTTTGCTAAGAAGGCCCGCTCTGCAACCAGCCTCTAAGCCCTAAACCCAAAACCCAACACCCAACACCCTAAACCCTAAACCCTCAACCCTCAACCCCTAACCTGCATGGTTGCTCTCCGGGATGAGGCTGGGGTTTCAGGTTTTTGCGTTCTATGTAATCAGGCTCCCTAACCCGAAATACACCCGACTTGAAGGCTCATGGGTAGATATGAGTAGGGTTATAAGTACCCTAAGCAAGGTTGGAGGTATAGTTCCCCTACTTATAGCCCCACTTATAGCTAGCCATGAGCCTCCAAGTAAACCCTAAACCGCATCTGGCTGAAAGGCCCGCAGGTCTGCAAACATGGTGGGGCTCTGGTTGTAAAATGGGGGGCTCTGGCGTAGGGGATATGGGTTCCACAGGCAAGTGAGGATTGTTTTGGGAAACCGGAACCCCCCCGCTCCGGGGCACTGAATGCAGAGAAACCGCCAGCCTGAAACCCTTAACCCTTAACCCTTAAGCCTTATAAACCCTAAAGCCTAAACCCTAAACCTTAAACCCTAAACCCTAAACCCTAAGCCCTAAAGCCCTGGAAGCCCGAAACTGTTTCGTGGTATTGTTCTGAGTGGCAGGTGCCGGTCGTGGACGCGCAAGGGCAACTTGTAGAGTCAAGCACCCACGTACTGTTTGGGGTTTGGGGTTTAGGGTTTGGGGTTGAAAGTTTAGGGTTTAGGGTTTAGGGTTTAGGGTGCACGTTGCAGATGGGTGAGGGCTGCGCTGTAGCAGGACGGAGGGAACGCCAAGCCACCTCTTGAATCAGCACATTATCATTCAAGACTGCTACGCTGCATTTTTTCGTGCTATTGCTCATTTTTCTACTCGTACTTCTATTGCTGCTGCTGATGCTACGGCTACGGCTACAAGAAGAAGAGCAACAACAACAACAACTACTACTACTGCTACTACTACTACTACTACTACTACTACTACTACTACTACTACTACTACTACTACTACTACTACTACTACTACTACTACTGCTACTATTGCTACTGCTACTAGCAGTAGTAGTAGTAGTAGTAGTCGTAGTAGTAGTAGTAGTAGTAGTAGTAGTCGTCGTCGTCGTCGTAGTAGTAGTAGTAGTAGTAGTAGTAGTAGTAGTAGTAGTAGCAGTAGTAGTGGTAGTGGTAGTGGTAGTGGTAGTGGTAGTGGTAGTGGTAGTGGTAGTGGTAATGGTAGTGGTAGTAGTATTTGTAGTACTAGTAGAAGTAGTAGAAGTAGTAGAAGCAGTAGAAGTAGAAGTAGTAGTAGTAGTAGTAGTAGTAGTAGTAGTAGTAGTAGTAGTAGTAGTAGTAGTAGTAGTAGTAGTAGTAGTAGTAGTAGTAGTAGTAGTAGTAGCAGCAGCAGCAGCAGCAGCAGCAGCAGCAGTAGTAGTAGTAGTAGTAGTAGTAGTAGTAGTAGTAGTAGTAGTAGTAGTAGTAGTAGTAGTAGTAGTAGTAGTAGTAGTAGTAGTAGTAGTAGTAACTAGTAGCAGTAGTAAGTAGTAGTAGTAGTAGTAAGTAGTAGTAAGTAGTAGTAAGTAGTAGTAGTAGTAGTAGTAGTAGTAGTAGTAGTAGTAGTAGTAGTAGTAGTAGTAGTAGTAGTAGTAGTAGTAGTAGTAGTAGTAGTAGTAGTAGTAGTAGTAGTAGTAGTAGTAGTAGTAGTAGTAGTAGTACGCGCCAGGCGCATATTTGACGCCACGTTTTTGTGGCTGTCAGGACGAGGTTTCATCGGTATTTACAGTGTTTTCGGAAAACAAGAGCAGGAGGCACGAGGGTAGGATTTAGGTGTTTTGTCCGAGGTTACATGGTACGGAGATGGGTTGATTGATCGATCGAGAGATAGACAGAGAGGGTTTCATGCCCAAAACGCTGGTATTTACAGCGTTTTCGCCTCTCAGTACAACATACTGCGCAAGGATGTACCAAGCCCGAAATGTGCAGCATTTTGTACAAAAAGGCAAAAACGCTGGAAATACCAGTGTTTTGGGCATGGACGTAATATGAATGACGTTCTTGTCCCGTCCCGCCCCCAAGAAACCAAAGCAGCCACATGTAGAATCAGAAAAAGAACGAATTCTACCCTCCACTCTTTCTTCGATTTCGTGCTGAAACCACACGTTCGAGGACCTCAAGTGAGGAAAATCATGGCGTCAATTATGGCACCTAGTAGTAGTAGTAGTAGTAGTAGTAGTAGTAGTAGTAGTAGTAGTAGTAGTAGTAGTAGTAGTAGTAGTAGTAGTAGTAGTAGTAGTAGTAGCAGTAGTAGTAGCAGTAGTAGTAGTAGTAGTAGTAGTAGCAGCAGTAGTAGTAGTAGTAGTAGTAGGAGTTGTTGTGCTTGTACTTCGTCTTCTACTTCTACTACTACACTACTACGACGACTTCCCACTACGACTACTTCCTGCCACGACGACGTCTAGTATGTAAGAGAATGACGGCTTTTCATTGAGGTTTGCGATATAGAATCTGAGCGTCGTTTGATTGTTGTGCATGTCAAAGTTATGCGGATCCACCGCAAGTGAGATGCAAAAAGGAACTTGTTCGAATGACTACAAGTAGTATGAGAGGATGTATATCCTACTATAACACATTCTACAACATTGATACATGGTAGAGTAGGTTCTGGGTTCTGTCCGAACATATAGTATAGCATTAACAGTACAGCCGAGTCTTCAATATATAGTATAGTACAGTCTAGTACAGTCTAGTATAGTATAGTATAGTATAGTATAGTATAGTATAGTATAGCATAGTATAGTATAGTATAGTATAGTATAGTATAGTTAGTATAGTATAGTATGGATAGTATGTATGCATAGTACGCTCTAGACCTTCCATAGCGAACTTGTTGTGCAACTAAGGCAGAGAGGCCTCCAAACACGGCGCTTCTGGTATACGCATGCTGGAAACGCAGCGAAGTACGACCACCACTGAGTCAGCCGCGATGACGACAGCATCCGTAGGAAGTGACAAACTTTGGCTACAGTTTTTATGAGAGCATTGCTATGGCATCGTATTGCTAGAGTATTACCGCAGTCATACAAAAGCATGCCTATAGGTATAGTGTTCGTATAGTACTAGTATAGTCTTAGTCTAGCAGCCGCCTATTCTTAATCCAGAATTCGTAAAATGTTAATCTAGTTTTAGTAAAGTATTAGTACAGTATTAGTATCCCAGTAGTATAGTGTTAGTATAGCCTTAGTATAGTCATTGTATAGTATTAGTAATGTTATTGTATAGTATTAGTACATTTTCAGTATAGTCTTAGTAAAGTATTGGTATGTTATTGCTCTTCCCGAGGCTGTCGGTTGGGAGTCAGTGGAGAGCGTGCGGTCGGAGCAAAAAACGTGTCACGTTTCTTCTCCCTGGTTTAGGGTTTGGGGTTTAGGGTTTGGGGTTTAGGGTTTAGGGTTTGGGGTTTGGGGTTTAGGGTTTGGGGTTTGAGGTTTAGGGTTTAGGGTGATAGTTTTTGGCATATCTGGTTCTAGCCCGAGGGTTCAGGGGTTCAGGGGTTTAAGGTTTAGGGGTTTTGGGGCTAGGGGCTCAGAGGCCAGAGGTTTAGGGGTTTAGGGTTTAAGGTTTCGGGTTTCTCAACTCTTGCTTGACTTCCTAAATGATTGCAAGTAACTTCCTGGCACCTCACGGCATGGGTTTCAGACCCGGAGTTCAGAGGGTGCTGGCAGGGTTTAGGGTTTAGGGTTTAGGGTTCAGGGTTCAGGGTTTAGGGTTCAGGGTTTAGGGTTTAGGGTTCAGGGTTTGGGGTTCGGGTGTAGGGCTTCAGTTTTAGGGGTTAGAATTTTTGCTTCAAACAACTTGAACTTTGACCACTTCCCATACGCCAAGCTATAAGCATGCTTCTTCCATTTGTCTAGCAAGTGTGACACATGATGGTTATCAGGTTTAGTAAGGATTTGGGTTTAGGGTTTAGGGGGCTTTTCTACTTCGTCGTGGTCAACGGTTTGACTGGGCAAAAAGTACCGCTTCTTAGGTTTTTGGAGATGTAGCTGCGTATTGTGTACAGGCATAGAATACAGTATATATACAGTATACGACCAGTGAACAGAAGCGTAGGAACTAAGCCCAAGAAGCCCCCAAACCCCAAACCCTAAACTCCAAATCCTACACCCCAAACCCCAACCCCAAACCCCAAATCCTAAACCCCAAACCCTCAACCTTAAACCCTCAATCACAAACCCTTAACCTTAAACCCTAAACCCTAAACCTTGCAAGCCCTCTTAGTGGTTCTAAGGGCACCCGAATGCCTTCAAAAGGTTTAGGGTTTAGGGTTTTAGAGTTTCGGGTTTGGGGTCTAAGGTTTCGGGTTTAGGGTTTGGAGTTTAAGGTTTAGGGTTTGGGGTTTGAGGTGTAGGGTTTAGGGTTTAGGGTGTAGGGTTTTGGGGCTTGGAGTTTATTTAGGGTTCAGGGCTAGGCCCAACTCCTTGGAGGCTCACGGTTCAGGGAACTCCAACCCCCCCCACACCTGGGCTTCATCAGGGCACTTCTAACTCAATTTTCTCCCCAAGCCCTAAACCCTAAACCCTCAACCCTCTACCCTAAACCCTCAACCCTAAACCCTAAACAGGGGGTTTTAGGGTTTAGTAAACCCTAAACCCTAATTAGACCCTAACCCCTAAACCCTAAACCCTAAACCCTAGTTAGAACCTAAACCCTAGACCCTAAACCCCAAGCCATCAACCCTCAGCCCAAAATGAACTCCCTAAACTTACCCCTTAAAAACGCCCTAGAGCCCCCATACTCCCTAAACTCCTTAAACTCCCTAAAACCCTGAACCCTGACCCTAAACCCTAAACTCCTTAAACTCCCTAAACCCTAGCCCTAACCCTAGTTCTAAACCCTAGCCCTAAACCCTAAACGCCCTAAACCCTAAGCCCCCTGAGACCTCAGCCCCCATGGGCTCAAGTCCAACCTTGCAGCTGCCATGGCTTGTTGGACAAAGCAGGAGCTGCTGCAAAAGCATCCGGGCGTTGAGGGTTTCTTAGGGGGTTTAGAGGGTTTAGGGTTTAGGGTTGAGTGTTTTCGGGAGGTTTAGGGGGTTTAGGGTTTGCTGCTTGGCACTTTGCAGGACTTGGGGGTTGCCGCTTGGGACTTTATAGGGTTTAGGGCTACAGGGCTTTAGGGGGTTTCGGGTTTAGGCTTCGGGGCTTCGTAGTATTGTAGTGTTTAGGGTTTAGGGTTTATAGCGGGTTGGGTAGGTTTATCTTGAATGCTGAACGGTTTTTGCAGTTTCGTGCGTCTTTTTTTTGAGGAGGGTCCCTACTGTAGCAATGAACAATGTACAGTGGCTACACAGCACAGTGAAGGTATGCGGGAACTTTCAAGCTGTGTTGTGGCGCGTGCTACAGAGGCAAACCTCCAGTGTGCACTGAGTGCAAAGCAGGCGCGATGAAGTGTGGCCTCGAGACGCACAACCTGGGAGGGGATGGGGACCTTCTGCTAGCCTATGACGCGCCCCCGGACGAGGCTCTGACACCCACCGTCATGATTCGACCGTGGTGGTAGAGAAATCACGCATATCACGCCATCTGCTGGGACAATTGCGGAAAGGACCGCTGCCCTTATGCTCACAGTGAGGTGGAGCTGGACGTATGGACCACACTTCAGGCTGGCTGGCAGGCCGAAATGCAGATGGCAGATTTGGTCACGGAGACCTACTTCCTGTTCGAGAAGGAGTTTTCTGGAGCACTTGCAATCCGAGAGGCACAGGGGGTTCATTGACGCGGAGGCTGACCGATGTCATCTTTGGTATGAGCGACGCCCTCCCCGGGAACATCTTCTTGAGTTGTGTTACTACTTTCAGCATGGCTCCTGCTACCATGGCTCCGAATGCAAGTATCCACATTCAGAAGGCGAGTGTCGTGAGTGGAGACAATGGGACGCAACGGTGGAAATCCGAGTCTTGTACTGAAGTCCCTCCTACCCTAAACCCTGAACCCTTAACCCTCAAACCCTAAACCCTGAACCCCCTCTCAGATTGCTCGTAAAGCATATGGGCTCAGAGGAAGCGCCCGTATCCACCCCTAAGCCCTAAGCCCTAAGCCCTAAGCCCTAAGCCCTAAGCCCTAAGCCCTAAGCCCTAAACCCTAAACCCTAAACCCTAAACCCTAAACCCTAAACCCTCAACCCTCAACCCTCACTTTGGCCCAGCGCGTTTCTGGACTGAGGACAGCACCTTGCCCGCGCGAACGGCTTGCAGACCTGGGCCAGGGAGCTGCGATCAACATGGTGTGCGGCCTCCCGCTTGCACCTAAGGGAGGGTTTAGGGTTTGGGGTTTAGGGTTTGGGGTTTAGGTTTTAGGTTTGGGGTTTAGGGTTTAGGGTTTAGGGTTTTAGGGGTTTAGGCTTTAGGGGTACCGATGCCGGCTGCTCATCCCTGGTTCAGGTTTCGACGTTTACGGGTTGAATTAGGATTCAGGTTTAGGGTTGGCTTTGTATTCTAGTATGGGTTGAGAGGGCTTCAATAGCGAGACTGCCCATCACTAGGTGAGCGGGAGTGAGAGGACCCTAAGCTAAAATCTACATCCTAAATCCGCTGTTCCCCCAACCCCACCCCAAGTAAACCCTACACCCTAAGCACTAAACCCTGAACCCAAACACGAATGATTCCGCAAGCCCTTTAAACCTGAAGTCCCAAGCTCGAACAGCGATATTTTATAGTTAGGTTTAGGTTTCAGGGTTTAGGGTTCACAGGGTTTAGGGCTCAGGGCCTAAACGGGGGTTCAGGGTCGGGCTGAGGGTTTGGGTTTTGTACCTTTGACTCTATGCCTCTAAGTTGAAAACTCTAAACCTCAGCACCCTGACATTTCTTTGGGTTTGGGGTTTCAAGCCCACTTGCAAGTGTCTATGAGCCTTTGCGGAGACCCTATATATAGACATATAGACCTTAAGCCCTCAATCTTTAAGTCCTTACGCCCTCAGCTTGACCAAAACTCCTACAACCTTAGGCCCAAAAGCCGAACTCGAAAACCCTAAGCCCAATCCGCACCCTGAGCCCGAAACCCTGAGGCCTCAAACCCCTAAAACCCTAAAGCCTCAAACCCTAAAACTCTAAACTCTAAAGCCGAAAACTCTAAAACCCTAACCCCTGAACCCTAAACCCTAAAGCCTGAAACCCTAAAACCCTAAACTCTCAAGCTGGAAACTCTAACACCCTAACCCCCAAACCCTCAGGCACAGCCGATGGGCCACGCTGGCGCTGGAGAGCCTGGGCGCTTGTTGGCACTTTTTCGTTTGGGGCTTGGGGTTTCGGGTTTAGGTTTTTCGTTTGGGGCTTGGGGTTGAGTGAGTTTCAAGCAATCCCGAAACCAATTGTTTTGAGAAGCCTAATGGAAAGGCCAGCCTGCTCTCGGCATGGGTGTGGGCGCAGGGAGAAATTCACTCAAGGATGTTTGGGAATAATTTGTTAATTTCTCGGTACAACAAATTCCGAAGAAACGGCAAATAATTTCACTTTTTGCTAGGGTTCCAAGTTCAGTTTTGTTCGGCGATTCAGGTCCAGGACAGCCTCGCGCGCCAGACGCCCGCCCGCAGCGAGAAGACGATCCGGGAAACCGAGGCCCTTCCACGGGTGCCGGGGTCGGGTTCCATGCCGCTCGAGCTCTGGGCTCGGGGTATGCTCACCACTGAAGTAAACATGTTTTTCGTAGACCTTCTCACATTGTCCAAGTCATCGTGAGAGCCAGGCTGCGTACATGAACATCCTGGCGTCTTCGCAGACCCTGCTGCAAGTGCTGAAGCGGAGAGGCTGAGCCGAAACCCTCTAGAACATAAACACCCCCAGCCCTCTAAAGCCACCTAAGACCTAACTTTGCCACCCCTGCACCCTAAAGGCGATCTCCACTGGTGCCTTTTCTTTGAGTTCAGGGTTTCAGTTTCGGGCTTAAGTTTAGGGTTGGGGGTTTCAAGAATTTGGGGGG